TACTTTATATATTTTATTGTGATTTTAATTTTTATTATGACTTTTTAATTAAATAAAATATTTATTACTTTCATCAAAATCATCATGGATTCAAATAAGTTAAAAAGTAATTATAAATTTATTTATTATTTAAATTATATTATCAAATATTTCATTAATTATAATAAATAATTTAGTGACTCAAAAATACATGTAAACCAGGGTTACCCAGCCTGTAACACTTTCCACACATTTATTTTTGTAATTGCCTTTGCTATACGATTTTGATCAACTGTCCCATGTTCAAGATCTCATCAAACAAATTTGTGTGTGATACTGTAGCACAAAAATACAGCTTTTAATATTCATTTCGGACAGACTTTTTAATCAATGATGTTCTCTTTAGCCTATAGTGATAACATACTATATCTTTTATAACTACATAGCAAATAGTCCAAAACTAAAATAATTTTACTTTAATGATAAGTGAAAAGTAATGGATTTTTTGAATTCAAATTATATTATGAAAATGTATTTTAATACAAGATTATCTATTTTGTACATCAAAAAGTAAAGAAAAATAAAAGAAAATTTTCTTTTATTGTTTGGACTTTGCCATTATGCATGAAACACAGCATTATTTCAATATCTTTTAGGCACATCTTACAGCATTGTATCTGTTTGAATTGATAATTGAATGAACTTGATGGCTAACTCACATCATCAAAATGTGATATGACGTATTTGGAAAAAATTCTCGCGTAACAGAATCAAAACAAGATATATTATGGATTGTGGCACGTCCCGTTAAAACCACATATCTATGTATATGGCTGTAATATTACTTATGTCGTAAAGCTTTTGTAAAGCTTTACTAAAATAAAAAAACTGTTGGTTTCAATTTGGTATAATATAGTTATTATCTATATAAATATCTTCATCGTTTTGAAATTTATATATGTCGGTAATAACTATAAATATAAAAAAAATTAGAAATAAAAACCCAACTAATAGTTTTTCATTTCGTTCACGTAAGCTTTTAACAAGATAAATGAAAGCATTTTTATTTTTTGTCGTCACGCAATTTGATGAATATTGGCAAATGCACGAAAAAATTTTTGTAGAATGCCTCTTCACAAACATTTGTAATGGTAATAGAGAAAAATTTGTGCTATAAGACCTCTACTAAACAACGAATGTCTAGGTAAGTCATATTTTGCAAAACACCAGAAAACATAGAATACTTAATCGAAAAGCTTATCACAAACCCATTAAGTCCAATGTTCATTTTGATGTCTAATCGGTTTATTATTCTGTTTTATTGTGCAAATAGCTAATAAATTTTATACTTTTTCTTTCAAAAGCCAAATTAAGTAATTCCTAAAATGTTTTGGTCAAGTAAATTCGAATATGATAGAAAAACCTGCCGAACAGTTTTTGAGATGGGGCAAAAAGTTATTATATTCTTGAAATCGTAGATCAATTTCTACTAAATCTATCAAAAAGTTAATCAAAAAAAAAATTTCTATCTTTTTCCAACGAAAAAGTAACGAATTTGTTTCTAGGATATAAATATATCTCTAGAATGTAAAATAAACATATGATAAACATATCATTAAAATTTCTTGAGTCATACTGAAGTATTGGCTGTATTTCACTTATACTCTCTTTGACTATTTTTAAAGCATCAAGATTTTTGCTTTAAGGTAAACGCACAAAATTTTATTTGACTTTCAAATCGTGTCTTTATATATATTGTTTACTTTATCAATTTAAAAACTAAATATTTTATTCAAATTATTTAATTGTCTATAAAATTAACATAATAGCATCAATTTTTAATAGTATCATTTATATCATTAATATTTATCAATATTAATAGCATCAAAAATTAATAGCAAATATTTTTTGTTAACAATATTTTCAATTTCGTTGTAACTATTTTAAAGGAATAAAAGTTTTAGTTAATAAACTATTTTTTTTTATTCTTTTATTTGTGATCAATGTTATATAATAATTTATTAGCAAGCTAATTGGTCATTTAAATAGAAATAAAGAAACTATAATTATTATTTTTATTTAAAAACAAATTATATATTATTAAAATATTTTTCCGATATTTCAACTATCTTAAATAGTTTCCCTGAAGATGACTATCGAAAATAGTCGATATATCGGAAAAATATTTTAATAATACATAATTTGTTTTTAAATATAAATAACTGATGATGGGTATTTGGCAATACTCGAAACAGCTGTATGGTCAGCCAAAAATTCAATTAATTAAAATAATATAAAAAAACAACTTTTGTTGTTGTATTTCACTACTGTTCGAAAAAACCTCTTTATGAATAATAAATTATAGTTTTTTTTTATTTCTTTTTAAATGTTCAATTAGTCCGCTTATAAATTATTAGTTAATAAACTAATTAACTAAAATGAATCGTTTCAACAACAACTATATATGCCCTTACAATAACTCATAACATAAATATTATATATACCTTAAAAATAATCGTAAAGATAATTAGTTTTATTGAGATATTAAAAAAACTCATTAATAAATGCCATACAAATTACAATGGCATACATAAATGTTTGAAATTATAACCAAAATACGTATAAAATATTTCAGAAATAAATTTTTTGCCTATATCACTTATATAATTGATCGATTCCGCAATATAATATAATTTCAACCTAAAACAACCCAAATACTTATAAATCATTTGTATGGTGAGTATGAGAAAAGTACCACTTATACGCACTTCTATTTGCTTTTTATGAGTATATTCTAAGTAACATATATATTAAATAACAAATACTGCTAGGAAGACAATGATGGTTTCGAAGGCTTGTAATTTAATGTTTTAGACAATACAATTACGCAATTTATATTTCATTCCCCTAATCTACTTAACCTTTCTTTTGACATTTTTTTTAAATATATTTAAAATTGTGAGTAAATTGCCTAGTACACCACTAAAAAGCTGTTAAAATTTTTGAACTGGTTTTAAAAAAATGAAAGTAAATTCAACTTTGTATGACTGGGATAAGGCGAATAGATTGCACATTATAAAAAAAGTGTAAGTTGAAAATGGAAAAACTGTGATATTTTCCTTAGGAAAAAAATTTTAGCTTGATCATATTACTTTTCTCTATCACAACAGGGGCCTTATATGCGCAATTTTCACTTATAAAAATTTACACAATTATACAAATTTATTGGACGATACTCTGGTTACCGTTGGAACCAGAATCTTAATTGGGTTCAAATTCGGTTTTTCGATCTATAAAAAGTAAATTAATCGATGCAATAATATATAAAATATTATTGTATTATTTAATAATTTATTATTAGACCCACCTTTCCACCAGCTAAGTGCTCGTTTATTTTTTAAACATTTTAAAATATGAATGAAATTTGGTTGTAAATCTTAGGATATTTGATGAAAGGCGACATTAAAGGTAGAATATATTTTTTTATAAGATAAAAAACCGATTTGAATGAATAATTTTAAATAAAAAATCTTTTTAAAAAACATGATAGCACAAGCTTATACTATAACAGATGATTTAATTTTAAAGGGGACAGGACAACGCTTGAAATGTTATAATTTATAGAAAAGTCGAATATAATTCGAATCGGTCTAACTTTTAAATAGTTCCTTTTCGTCATAAAGACGCGTCACTCTCGGCAGGAAAAAATTAACATTAAAAATATAATTGTTTGACAAATAATTATTTTGGTTATTCGGTTCTATATTGAAGTACAATTACGTAGTATGTTGAATATGCAATTCCTAAGAAAGATCCATAATTTGCATAACTGCAAAAAGAAATTACATTAGGAGTATTCACGTTTTTAGGTAATTGTTTTGAATATGTGTTAAATGTACAAATGTCAAAAAAGTTCCACATTTTCCGCAGCGAAAAAATCAAATTACGTTTAGTGTAAATTTACACATTTGCCACAGGCGGAGCATTACTAAATCTTGGATTATGAAAAGTTGTTATTACAGTAATTTGTAAGTAACATAGACTAGAATAGAATAACATAGAATATCATATCAGATGCACAAATATTGCGTCGGCATACCGTGTTTACCCAGCAGTTTTGTTTCCAAGTTCGTTTCTGTTTTATTCTATTAAAATTATTTTTGGTTTTTTTAGATTTGTACATTCCACACTTGCAACGCAATTGCACTAAAGCGTGGCAATCCGTATTGCACATTCGCTACAACCATAAAATTTTCTAATTTCACAATATATGTGTAAAATTTTGCATTATGAAGAGTTCTTATTATAATAAAAAATTGAATACAAAATATACATATTGAACGTTGGTATTCTGTCATTTGTTAATCTACAATACCCTACGTAGATAAAAACGGCTGATCATAGCATTTCCATTTGCAAACAGATTATTGCAACGATTTGTTCTCGCTTCGTTAAAAGTATTTGCTGCAATTTTTCGGCATTGCACCAAAGAGCGCATACCTTTATTATATTTCTTTCCACTTGACCGGTAAAATTATAAAATACTTTGTTTTAATTATTGAAGCCGTGTCATGAGCACTATGTTAATCAATAGTAAATTAATTCACATATTTCTTATACACCAGTATCTTCCATTGTTGCACAGCACATAAAACTCACCTTGACTGAATGGTCAGATAATGATAAAAAACGAATAAAATTATATACCGTGCTTTCGAACTTTGATTTTATTCTAATTTCAATAATTCATCGGCACTCAATCGTCTTAGGAGCACACATTTACAAGCGCAGTGTTATAAATAAATACTTTGTATATAGAAATATGTACGTAAAAATGTATTACAGCGCGTTTATGTCTTAAATACGTTAATGACAAAGGCCATGTGACATTCATTTATTCATTCTTATGTATATATAACTACATTCATGATTTATAAATGTATTAAGGACTTATGTATGTACAAAAGAGTGAAACTGTAGTGCTCTAAAATGTAATTAGTTTTGTTATATTATTCACGTACATATCAGGAAGGATTTATTGATTACCAGCAGCTGGAACTGTTTTTTTCCAACGAACTGCCTTTGTTTTGCTTACGTTTTGTAGTAAATAATCAGGTTGAACGTATTTTCACTATTTTAAAAAGCATCAACTTTCGTGCACAATTTCTATTAGTAAAATATTAAAAATTTTATGAAAACTGCAAAAATAATCGAATGCATATATTCACTACAAACTATTCACAAAACATTATATAAAACAGTTTCATAAATGAAAATTATCTAACTCGCGGGATTAACGTTGAAATAAAATTGCCTCGCACCGCAAAATATGCGGACAACCAAGTTATATGTGTTGAACGAGAGCAGATAAAAATACAACAACTGAGCGAATTAAAAAAAATATTGGACTTTACTTTGAAATTTTATAAATGGAAAGTATTAAAATTAGTGTTGTAAAACGAATATTTTACGTACACGAATACAAACTTGGAACAATTTAACTTTTTTATATATTGTATATATAGTCAAAAAATTTTAATTTTACGATTTCGATATAATCTAAAGGTGAAATATAAAATATAATAATGACATATATTTCAAATAGCTTGAAAAAAAACATTAACATATTGTTTTCAAAAAGTCAAGATAATTATCTATAAAGGTCTAGTTGAAGACTAGTCCGTTACTGACTTCTTTATTTATTTTCGCGACGGAATTATTACTAGTGTATGGACACCTCTTGATACCACTTTTCTCCTCTAAAAGTTTCACCAAAAACCACTTAACTGACATTTTATAAAACGACGCCAGTATTTATAATAATAAATTTCAATCAGAAACCTGAATAAAAATCAGTACGGAGTAACTTTTTTTTATTAATATTAGGCCTTTTTGGTGACTCGCAAGTATGGCAAAAAATGCATGCTGGCCTATATTAGCTTCGCGAGTCATTGGCATCACTGTTGCAACCTGTCAAGTGTTATGTTTTGACAAATAGCATAATGCAAGCAAATTACATTGCGTATAAAACTAAATAATTAACATAAATTGGAAATTAAATTTAATACAAAATTAAAAGGAATGGAAAAAATGTTGAAAATTTCAAAATAAAACACTGAAATATTTCTTTTTTTTTTTTTTGAATTTTCAAATTTATGAATTTTTTGAATGTTAATTTTTTCTTGCCGATATTGGCGTGTCTTTATAACAAAAGAAACTACTTAAAAGTTTGAAGGATTCGAATAGCAAAGAAATAAAGAACATAGACAAAAATTTTATTTAATTTATTGAAATGTGACTGACCATACAACGCTGTTTTGAGTATTGCCAAGTACTCTTAATCAGTGGTCTTAGGAAATAATCGAATTTTATTTAATTCGTTTATAGTCCGTATATAATTTGTTTGGACTGCAAGTGCCAGGCTTAGAACTCGTGCCTGTCAAATTAGAAGCGATGACTAATCGTGTTTATCCACAAGTAGCCAAGGCTGCACAAATTTTTAATGCTCATGTTTCAGGTTTTGTTGTCACTTATTTTTATTTAATTAGTGACACCAACCAAAGCACTTACCGTGCTTTAAATTAGAACGAGAATTTAAACTACAGCTTTATTAGGAAACACAAATTCAACGAATTGAAGTTAATTTTTGAAGTTGCCTATTTTTGAATGTTGTTTAAATTTTTATTTATTTATAATTTTTGACATATGATTGTAATATTCGTTGGAATTTCCAATGAAGGTTCACAATAGTTCACTTATTGTTTTGGTAACACTTTTTTCTTACTGATCGATGTGCTTGGCCGAGGTAGAGAAAATAGTAGTGTTCTTTTGCGTACATTTCGGCCAGTATAGACCACTAACTTGCTGTTTTTTGCCATACTTGCGAGCCACCGAAAAGGCCTATTATTTATTTTTTACTTTGATCAAATAATCAAAATTTGATCAATATCTAAATATGAAAAACAATTCTCAATTTTATTTTAATATAATACTTTTGTTTTTTTTACAGGCTAATTGATCTATAATTAAATAATAAACTTTTACAAAAATTTTTATTTGTTCTTAAAAGATCTATAATTAAATAATGAACTTTTACAAAAATTTTTATTTGTTCTTAAAAGATTTCATTTTAATCGATATTTCGACTATAATCTATGGTCGTCATAAATTTTATAGATTATAGATAACAGTCGAAATATCGGTTAAAATAAAATCTCTTACAAACAAATAAATATTTTTAAAAAAGTTTACCTACTGACAAATTATCCCGTAAAAAAACAAAATTATTATTAAAAATATTTGGTCATTAAAATAATAAATTAATAAAATAAAATAATTTATAAAAATTAGGAAACCATGCAAGAATATTGAATCGCTCCTTCAATTACACCTGCCACAGCTGTGGAAAAGACGATGAAAGTGCCTCTCATCTACTTTGGTTTTGCTCAGCTCATGCACGAAGGCCACTAAACATTTTAGGGACGCTCTCCCTTAAGGATCTTGAACAATTACAAGACATCCCATGAAACAGCATTTTAAGTTTTACCAAAGGTTCTATGGATTTTTAAGCCCTGAGTTCTTCACTACACGGTAACACAATATGCCAATAGGCGTAAGGGGATATCCTAGAGATCGTGGGTATTACCCAATCTAATCTATAATAAATTAATTTAAATTGATAGTGTTTAATATTCAATATGATATTAATTCATTATAATATTTATTGTTTTTAATCTTAAATCTATTTTTAAAGTCTTTAAAAAATGCTGTAATCAAATTTTTTTGAATAGTTGGTACTGAAATAAACCATCGCCACAACGTATTTCTCATTCATATGCATTAAAATTATTTACTTATGCATTTATATACATATTATGATTGACAAAAGCTTTTAAATTGAAAAAATAGAACTTTTTAAAGATTACGAATAATTTTTTTCAAACCCCTAAAAATTGCACTTAAAATAAATTCTTTGTCTAAAAGTCATTTTCCGTAACATGAGTAAGAGGATGCTCATTTCTAAGAAGTAAAGTTGCTTAGATCACTTTTTGGATTTAATTTTAATTAAAGACCATCATCATAGGAAAATGAACACTTGGATGCAAATGAACAACTTTTAAATTTGGTTGAAATATGCACTTTAAGTGATTTGTTAAAACTTCCAATCCAAAATATGTCTAGCCTGCACATGACATATTTGGATTGTTACCTGGTACCAGCTAGATAATAAACTAACAGTTCATACAGAATAACTCAACCTTATCCAGGATTTTAAATTTGAATTATGCATAACGTTAGCACCCGTCCCGTCGCGTCATCTGCCAGTGAAAGACATGAAGAAACCTCGGATACGGAAACCGAATATTGTAGACCACTGTAAAACAACTAGGGATCATGATTTAGAAATATGCACCTGGAATGTCCTAATCCTCTATAGCGAAGATTTCATTATCCAACTGCCGGAAACACATAATAAATGTTACGTTGACGAAATAAAATTACCACCAAAAAAGGCGATTAGCAGGACATGGCTGCTGTAAAAAAATAAAAAAGAAACTAGAGCTGCAGAGCAAATAGTATGAATTTAGATGCAATTTTTTGGTTAGTAAGCCAGTCCAGCGGTTCACACCAGAGAATGAAACGCTTGCATCCAGGTCACACAACGTTCTGAATCTGATTGATTTCGCTTCGGAAAGGAACATGATAGTACGCAAAACTGGATTTCCTCATTCCAACGTAAATCTCACTCGATCTGTTGATTGATCGATCAAAATTAGATTGATCACTGCGTGACTGACGTAAGACACGCTTCAAGTGTGCTGGATATATGTTCGGCCGAACCACTACTTTGTCGCATCCAATTTACTGATGCAGCTTAATAGCGATAACAACCCACGTTTCCGTACCAAAAAAATGTACTTGAAAAGTCTTCAGCCAATTGCTTCCAACCTTCCAATCTTTAGTTTTCAATTTATCTGTAGACGAAATCAATAGTAAAATGAAAAGTGACGCCAGGCGGCCTATAAAAGGACCCTGTAATCTGTAGACACATTAACCGTGCACGCACAATATCTGGAGATGAGGTAGGAAGAGAGAGCCCTTTTCATATGGAAGAAAGGATATCAAGATAGACGTGAACGAGAGAAAATCAAAATGTGGAGAAACTAAAACGATGTCCATAAATTTTAACAAAAAAGTCAACCGTCTGGCTCAAGGCCTTAAGCCTGGAGAATCAACCTGTAAGGACAAAAATTGTGATTATAATTATGAAGAAGAAGTTCACCGAACTATTATCTGCCGACGATAATATTTAGTTGACCTTTGAGGAGATGCTCTCAGAGTCCTCAATCGAAAATTGTGGTTATGAAATTCTACCACCTAGCCGTACCGAAGTACATGTTCAGCGAACAGCAAGGTGTCTTGTGCTGACGACATCCCCATGGAATTATTCAAACCCGGGTGAGATATACTGATAGGGAACATGCTCAGCTTATCTGTAGAATATGGTTGAATGAAAGCACTTATGTCCATCGATTGGATTCTCAATACCATCTGTTCTGTTTTGAAAAAACGGGTTTGTACAATTTGCTCTGTGCAGTATGAAATGTTGAAACCACATGTCAACTCACAATAACCAAATCTTCACACTGTGAAATTTCTAAAAAGATCAACGAACACAGTGCAGTATGAAATGTTGAAACCACATGTCAACTCACAATAACTAAATCTTCACACTGTGAAATTTCTAAAAAGATCAACGAACACAACATTGACCCTCACTAACTTTTTTTCGATTATAGGTAAATAGCTTTCGATAGCCTTAAAAGATATAGCGATTAAGCCGTAATATCTGAGCTCTATATTTCTGCGAAGTTATTACGACTCTGCAAAATGATATCAAGTACTACCCATAGTTCTGTCAAGGTAGGATCGAGTCATTTGAACCTTTTAAAATCATGTGAAATTCCAGACAAGATGATCTTCTATCATATGATCTGTTTAATTTCGCTTTGAAAATGTACATGTGTATAGCAGGTGTTTATCATAACGGCACAATATTCAAGAAATGTGTCCAGCTTCTTGGCAATGCCGACGACGTCGGCATTATTGGTCATAGCAAGCGTGATGTTACTGCTGCATTTGCTGTTATCGAAAAGAAATCTACGAAAATAGGTTTAGTGGTGAATGAGCGCAAAACGAAATATATTATATATCAGCTATTAGTAGAAATGTGAGTCGGTCAGACGCCTTCCTAGTAACTGGCGATCATACTTTCGAATCTGTCAAAGATTTCATCTATCTAAGTACCGCCGTAACAAACAACAACAATGTTAGCCTCGAGATCAGATGAAGAATCACTGACTGAGTAGGAAATTAG